CCATGTCATAATTTGACTTTTAATCAAAATCTGAGAGAACTCAGTAATAAATATGCACTCCATCAAAATCCAGAAACTCATTTGCTTCTTATGTAAATCAGGGTTTAAATTGGATCATTGCTTCTTAAAGGAATCATGGTTTAGAAGTAAAGCACAGCCTTGACACAAGGGTTTCCTCAACAAACAAATCTGTATTTAGCCCAGAACAGTCCAGTTTTGATGAGTTCAAACTTTACAAATGTGGAAACGGAGGTAAAACTAAGGCCCCAAATTAATCTTTGTCAAGCTTTAAGTATTTATGGATATGAGATAAGATAAGGTTAAACAAAAGAATACAAAATGTGTAAGGACGAAGAACCAGCAGAACAGGAGTAGCAGACTCAGCTATTTGATCCTTTATGGGTCAAATATCTTTTCCTTCTAAACATGAAGTCACTAAGCTGGTGAATTAACCATGAAATTTGATTTAAGTTAACAATAGATTTAGTTTGTTTTGCTAAGAGAGAAATTATGTTTTATCAATGCTGCAATAATGACACACAATTTAAAACTGATTCATTGCTAATGAAAAAGGTCCAGTTTATTCAACATATTGTCCTATTAGACTTAGACAAATTTTATTTTGTCATTTTGTTCACAAGTGTATACAAAAAGAAATATAGTTTTAGTACAGCTCTCTAGGCTTTTTCATTTTTAAAGTGCAGCCTTGATAAAGGTAAGCAGCGGTGATTAAAAACACTGTGATAAAAAACACTGTGGTGAAAAAAAAAAATTATCATTAATTATCAATTATCATTATTAATAGAATTATTATTATCTATTAACCATAGACGTCCACATATACTGATTCTTACACCCTAAAATGCTAAAACATTTTAACGTGTAAGAAGAATTTGAATATGTGATTGCGTTTCAAATGAAAATAAATATTTCTTCACCACATTTTAGATTACGGCTGGGCAATAAATTGCATTTCCAATATAATCGCTAATTAATAAACTACAGTTTTCAAATTACGGAGGTGCTACATTTTGGTTACATTACATTCAACAAGAGTAATACACTGACTTTCACACTCGGACCTTCAGGTGGTGATAATGTGCTTAAAGCGGGTCCACCGCCACACATAAGAGAACAAAGCGTTACAACACAGTTGCCTGTAGCACAGAGAACCGTAAACACTTTTCCACACTACAGTAACAGTGAAGTCCTGCCAAATGGACTCTCGACAGGCAAGCCTTCAAGGTCATGAAAACATTGAAACCATGGGGTGATACATCGACATGCTGGTGCTTAAAGCAATGGAAAATTAAAATAAAACCACAATTTCAGTATTGGTTGAATCAATCACAATTTAGATTTTTGACCAAATCCTTTTTTTTTTTAAAAACAGGTTGTAATTGTTATTATAGAAAGGGAGTAAAACATAGTTAGGAAATGTGCTACATTTTCGGACCAGTTTACCTCTCTGTCAGTTCCTACCTCCTTTTCTCATTTATTACCTTCTTGTCCTGGCATTAAAATGAGCCATGTACATGTACAGTGTACCCATGTACAAATCCTTGTCCTTTTCATTTTCTGTCTTCAAGACAAATATAACAATTTATACTCAATTACATTATGTTTCTTCAAAACTTTATAGTATTTCTAATCAAGGCCACTATTCAATGTCTAGGCCACCTGACATCTGAAATCAGACAAGAACTGAGTGATTGTGTTGTTGATCGTTTATGCTTACCATAAATTATCCACCAGGAAGTTGATAATACATGTGCTAAAAAATAATAACAGCGGTTTAAAAATGTAGGTGAAGTTTAAAATCTGAAAAATATATTTTTTTTCTCCATGCATTAGTAACAACTTGAAGGGCACTTCACAGAAAATAAAAAAAGGTTAACATGGGATGGGTTCAGCGATAACAGGTTCTCCCTTTTCTTTACAAATATAAATATAGATGGTATAAGCTGAAAAGTCTTTATGATTTATTATTCCTGTAAATTAATAAACTAATGTGTAGTATTATCACTGTTTCTGGGAATTTCTCCTCTTTCACAAGAAGTCGACCAAATCTCTTAAAAGGTATTCAAGCCCAGGATTTTTTCACAACATCCATTTTCTCTACATTTCTTGGTCTTCCTTAGAATAAGCATTTTTGACGTTCTTCTACAAGTCTTCAATCAGATTAAGGTCTGGGGATTGGGCTAGCTACTCTAGAACTATGATTTTGTCAGGCTGGTATGCAATATGTTGCTTGCTTAGCTTTGGAGTCATTGTCTTCTTGAAACATCAAGAGCATTTCCTGGTAAAGTTAAAGCTTTTGGTTAATACAGTACAAACTGATCCATGATCTCTGGTATGCAATAAATAGGCTCAACACAGAGTAAGTTAATCTTCCTCATGTCATGGTGCTTAAAGCACCATCCTCCATTGTCTTCATAGTGTACTGTGGCTTTTATTCAGTGGTTGGCAGTTATCTTGGACCCCCAAAAACCCCTTCCTTTAATCAGTACTTTCATTTTCATGTAGGCAGTTAATATTTTTGTAGCATTTCTTTCTGATAAATTATCTTCACAGATGGCTTCCATTTGTCACAATACTAACTGGTAACTACAGACCATCTTTGATCACTGCTTTGGGCTAATAATTGTCTGATTCTTGGCCATTTTTTATTTTTTTTTACTCATTTGAACGGTAGCCTTTTTTCTAAATCTTTCTGGTTTAGCTTTGATTTCAAAGCACTAGATTATAGTCCAGCCAAACAACCTATGATTTTCTGCACCTATTTATATACACTCCCCTCCACAATCAAGCTTTTAAGCAAAGTACGCTTTTCTGAAAATAACTGAAATTACACATTTTTGTTAATCTTTTAGGGAAGAATGTATTATACTTAAAATAAAGGCAACCGGATTGAAAAACAGTTTCTTTTTTATGGAAAAAGTGACTAAAATAATTCAACTTCACATAAACTTTTAATTACCTTTCAATTAATCGATCAACTACAGAGCCACAGGAAGAATCTTTTAATAATGTTGGTTGTTGTCGTTGTTTTCTATGACTCTATCGCACCAATGAATACATTATTTGCCAAACAGTGATGCATTTTTTTTTTAGCCCATTGATTCCTATAGTTTTTAACAGTCAGGATAATGATTGGAGAAACCCTGTGAGGCCGTGATAGACTTTAAGCAAAAGGAATGAAATGATGAGATCTCAGATTTTACTTTGTTTTTCTTTGTATATTTTTTTTGTTGACACAGATTGTCAAATTACAACGATCTGCCCTAAAGCCAGTAATTATAATCTTAGACTGTTAAGGTCAAAGAAATGACTCTAAGGGAATCAGACAAGTCATTACAATAATCACATTAAACAATCAAGATATGCTGC